TGCGGTGTATTCTCTTCTCGGTTTAATCCGAAATGAATATTTATCCTCTTCCTAATTTACTTGAAAAACTCAGAGCGCGCCCCAGCAATTTTGCTTGGACCGCTCAGAGTTAATTGCAATTGATACAGGTACCAGAGTTTGTTTTGACTCGAGGAAAGATGGGTGAAACTTCTTGGCCTTTCTATTCTCTTTCGAATCGGGAATCGCTCTTCCCTCGTTCAGGATTGTTACTTTTTCCTATTTTTCGCGCTTACTTATACATAAACTTATGAAGTTTCTTCCTCCTCGGGGGGGGAAGAAACTTCATAAGTTTATGTATAGGGGGGGGGGTCGTACCGAACCCCCAAAAAGGGTGGGGGGTGTACGGGCTTCACCAAAATCCCAACCAGTGATGTGCCCTTGTGCCCTGCTTAAGAGAAACTGCAGTGTCAAATTAGTGTATGCAATGGGGAGAATTTGCGAAAAATGCGACTTCCCCAAACTCCCTCCTTCGACACGCCCCCCAAATTCCCTCTTCTGGCGGTACGTTCCCCCTCCTACCTACCAATTTTGTAGATTTCCCCAACTTCCAGAGGCAAATGCAGCCCTCTCCTTTCCCAACAGAGCAAATACGACCCCCCACGCGACCAAATACGATTCCCCGTCTGGGATCCTCAAAGTACGACGTGTCCAGTCACAATACGCAGTGTCACTAATGCCTTGGGAAGCTAACAATTGTTTCCAGCTGGAGGATCGCCTGAACTGGGCTGTGGCCACGTAATGTCATATCCATAATCCGCAACTATGAAAAGAGTAGGCTTGTTCAACTATTAGTATAAAATAACGTTCATTTACATAAAAACAATGCTTAGAGAATACATCAGCAATCTACAAAAATTCACTTTAGGGTGAATCCTTCTTTTGCCCTTAATTGTAAGATTGTAGGGCCTAAGATTCGGCGAGTGTGGAAAGTATGCGAGGGTTCTCGTTGCAAGGACGGCATCGGGAGGCAACCAGGCTAGTCCAAAATCGTGGCAGAGCAGCTTGTAAAGTCCGTATCGCAACGTTAAACGTTGGAACCTTGACCGGACGTTCATGTGAATTAGCAGAGGCACTGGAGCGCAGACGAATCGATCTCTGTGCAGTGCAGGAAACAAGATGGTCCAGTTGCAAGTCGAGAGACCTTGGTCGGGGCTTCAAAGCCATTCTTTGCGGCAAGCCAAGGACCACTAACGGTGTGGCCATAATCGTCTCACGACGTTTCCGTGACTCGATAGCTAGCGTGGAACGTTTCGACGACCGCTTGATGAAGATTCTTGCTGTCGAGCAGCGACTGTACCACTTCTTTTCTGCATATGCTCCGCAAACGGGATGCGCTGAACAATCAAAGGACGAGTTTTGGACTCTGCTTGAGGAGAAGACAGCTGAGGTACCGTCAGAAGGACGTCGTAATTGTCGCTGGTGACCTTAACGGGCACGTAGGCGCAACGAAAGACGGTTACAGTTGTCATGGTGGTTTCGGTTATGGGACACGTAACGCCGATGGCGAACGCATCTTGGAATATGCAGAAGCCCATAATCTCGCCATCGTGAACACAAAGTTCCGTAAACGTGACTCCCACCTGATAACCTTCTACAGCGGAAGCGCCAGAACACAAATAGACTTTGTTCTTGTCAGGCATCGCGACCAAGGACTTGTCACAGACGCGAAGACCGTGCCGTATGAAACAGTAGCCTCGCAACATCGCTCGCTTATCTGCACGCTAAAGATAACACCGCCCAGGTTGAAACAGATGGAGCGATGTGGTCCCGAGAGGATTAAGTGGTGGCATCTGAAAGAAAAGGAGGCAGCTATTTTATTTCTCGTCACGCCACGTATATCTTGATCAGTTTAGTATATTCACCCTGATACAATCTCGTCTGACGTCTGTGTGGGAGATCCGCTGGAAAATAGAATGCTTGGTTCGGTTTGGACCGGTTCACTGGACCATTTGAATAGCCCATAATTGACCGAAATTCACACATGCTCTCTGCGCTCACGCGCCGTGTGATCTTGCATCCAGTCCGGTGTGTACACACACGAGAAACTGGACAGGTGCGGGGTAGTTAGTTAAGTTCGCACGCCGCGGTGTGTGCCGATTGGGTATTTTTGTGCACGGAGTTACAGCCGTCCACGTGAGAAATATCGAGGCTGCACGGGTGTATTGCAAGAGAACTGCCTGTGACGTGATACCACGCTCTGTATACGTTGCAGCAACAAGTCAGCAGGAGCACATCATGCTATATAGCCGACGTCACCCAGTAAGCCACAAAAGCGGCTTCTCGAACGCGAGTGCTCTTTAGAGCAAGGGGCTAGTCGTGCGCGAATTTTCGTGTTTCACCATTGTGAAATAACTGGATTCGGCGGACAGGCTTCACCACGCGTCCAGTTCGGTTCGGGTGGTCGCAACGTTTACAGAAAACCGGCTTGGCACGTTGTGGACAGGATGAATCAGCATAGAAGCAGATCGCATTTGTGTGCGATTAACACCGTTTTCACGGAATCGGATGAAGGTATTTAGCGCCGCGAAGCGCGGCGTCAGTTATGCGACCCCGTGAGTTTTAGGCCTTTACAGCCAGATTGAGCTCGCCGACCGAGCGGAAGGCGACGCGCGACCCAGCCGAACCGGGCAGCCAGCGGAACGGGGCGGCGAGGTCCGGGCGGAAGGTCAGCGGCGCCTGGGCTGAAATGCGAGCTGGCGGCAGCACGCGCGCAAGCGAGGCAGGGGATGGGGCACGACTGGGGTATGCTTGGCGGCCATTTCTTACGAGGGCATGCAGAACCACGGATAGGCCTGTCCTTAAATTGGCACGAAGCAAGGTGGAGGGATCGGGCGCGCCGCTACACTTGCGATGGAGTGGAGGCGGACGGCCAGAATCAAAGGTGTGAGGCGATGGCGCGCGAGCTACGCTTTCTACGGGAGTGAGAAACTCTCTTCCACAGGCGTGGAATTGGAAGCACGTGCGCGCGCCGAGGGCGATTTAAACGGGCCACAGTCGTCACGGGAGGTTAAGCGAACGGGGGGAGGCTATGGGCGAGACTAGCAGCGCTTAACGTAGAGGAGTCGGGGCGCATCTACCGGAAAGGGCTACGTCACAGTGGCACCGCACACGGAGGCGATGGGGAGGTCCGGGGGGCAGGTATGCATGCGGAAATGACAGGTGAACGGGCACAGCGCGGGACTGGGGCACTGCAGGTGGTGACGTGGGCTACTGCACGGCGAGGCCGCCGCCCGGGGTGACGCGACGTGGCGGTCGAAGTATGGAAGTCACACTGCTGGCATGCTGCCGAATGGTTGACAACGTTTTTCAATCAGGTCGTTGCAGAGAAGAAAATGCCTGAAGTATGGCAAGAGAGCACGACGGTACCGATCTGGAAGAAAAAAGGCAGTCCTGCAGACTGCTCAAATTATCGTCCAATTCGCTTGCTCTCGCACAGCATGAAAATTTTTGAGCGAATTGTTGATAAGCGTCTTCGTGATATCGTCCAGCTCTCCACCAACCAGTGTGGCTTCGTGACTGGCTGTACCATCGACGCCATACATGCCGCTCGTCTCTTGCTAGAGAAACATCGTGAGAAGAAGAAGCATGTTCACCTAGCCTTCCTTGATCTGGAGAAGGCATTCGACCGTGTCCCACGTGAAGTTATATGGTATGCCTTACGGCAGCACGGCGTTCCCGAAGAGCTGATTGAGTGGGTACGCATCCTGTACTCCAGCCCGACGAGTCGAGTGCGAAGTCCAGCAGGCATTTCGATGGGGTTCCCCATCACAGTTGGGGTGCACCAGGGCTCAGCGCTTTCCCCGCTGCTCTTCGTTGTCGTCATGAACGCCATTTCACGGGACCTCCAGAAGCCGGCTCCTTGGACGCTTCTCTACGCTGACGATGTGATGCTCGCCTGCGAGGATAAGAATGGTCTCGAGGAACAAGTGCAAGCTTGGACTGAACGGTTAGCAAACTTCGGGCTCAGATTGAACGTCAAGAAAACCGAGTACCTGACGACTGACCCGGACGAGTCTGGTTCCCTTAGGGTCAGCGGAATTTTTAGGTATTTGTTAAATTATTTGCTGAATCGTTTAATTGTTCGCAAAATTTAGAGAAATCTCAATCATTTACCTTGTGAAAACAAGGAACAGCTAACCGTGGAAAAAGTAGCCAAAAACACTACTTGAAAAATAGGGAAAAAATTATTTAACCTGGCTGGAAATCGCCGCACGCAGTTCCTGTTGCCGCACACCGTACGCGTCGCTGCTGCAGCCGCGTCTGGTGCCCTTTGACGACCGCCCTAATCAACTGCCCGGATGACGAGTGTATCTACCGGATTATAGGATAGTTGCATCAACTCATACAACAGTCGACGGAAAACGACTGATACAAAGATATTATAGCCTTGTCACTTGCTCGCTTCAACAACTGGTGGAAGTCGGGTTAGGCGCCGCGTCTAAACCATCTTTTTTGACACACTCCATCATTCGCAGCGAACGGAATTATACAGTGGGCGATACGCGAGCGAAGCTACGCTTAAGATGTCATGAACTACAACAAGCGAGATCGGTTTTTACAGCAGGCAGAGAATAAGTCCGCAAGCGTCTTATCGGTTCTGAGCTGAGTTCGGCGCAATGGTTACTACGTAAAAGCCCATCTTTCCGTAACGACCTTTATAAGTATCAAGTTTCAAATAATTGGAAGTGAAGTAGCAAGGTATGTAGTCTCACAGGCTCCATTCCTACTTTATCATGGACGTCTTACCATGTAAACATCCTCTTTGATAGAAGTTGCCCAGTACTCGTCCATTGCTGCATGCATTCAGTTTCATTACAATAAATAATAAAAAAATGCCACGTTAAGTGACACTTATAGTAGCGATTATTGCTCTCTTAATTATACAATTACTCTCAATTATACAATTACACAATTAAAGAAATAGTACGCAGCCATGCTCCACTGCGTCGCATGGAAGGCATTTCTCCTATTTCCCGTTGTCAAATGAATAAATCAGATCTCGTTCGCCAATTTCTTTTCTCATCAATTTCGATTCCGTTGGACCATACGTCGCTGTCACCAGCTGAATGCTTCCAGGAGAGGTTTGCGAACCCTTCTCCGGATATATCAATGAGATTCTTCGTGGAGACGTACAAAATGCTCTTGTAAGGATTGTAACTCGATGTTTGGACATTGATGTTCACCTATAAAACTATCTTTTGGGGAGCGTTGTAAAACTTGATGGCACAGTTCATCTTTTACTGCCCAGTTTCCAAAGATTAGGTCAGAACTTTGAGTCTTCGAGACATTTGAGCCGGCGTCGTTAGCTCCCCAGACCTGTTTCGACGCCAGCGCTTGTATCCTAGGCGTTAGGTTACGTGTCAAACAGAGTATGAAGGCAATTGGGAGTGTATGACGAGACAGAGCTCCGCCTACGAGAGTGATCTCTGCCTTTTCCAAGAGTCAGGCTTGTAAACCGTGAGCACAGAGGGAGGTCTGTGCTTTTGTTCGGCTTCCGTCAACGAGCACAAGCGGATTCAAAACTTAAGCTGCCCGTCTCTTGCTCTCCCTCAATATTTCTCATTTATTCAATTTTTCAATATAGTCAATAAGTTCTTATTTCCCATAAGTCTTCTAAATAAAGGAACGAATCACTAGTTTGGAGGAAGCAGAAAAGCCAGGCCGATGTCTGGTTCGGAGTTGTGAGGTGTTTTGGCGCTGGTGCCAGCTGGTTTCGTTCCAAGCGGTACAGGAATGGGAGAACCGTTGGGAGAATATCATCGGGAGCCATAAGTTGGTCGGTGGAAGTCTTATCCTGCTCCAAGAGGTTTTTTTTCCGATCCTCAGGAGATTTTTCCCCACGTGTGAACTTTACGCAATTTTCACCGACCGCAGAACTATAACCCGACTACTACTCCTGATAGTATTTCCACGTTGATAAGTGACAATCTGCTCTTCCCTGTCATCGCCCCCATCCCCCGCTCTACGCTCGTTCCTTGGGACAGTGGAAAAAATTCTGGAAAACTGGTAAGGAGTTGAGAAAATTTGGGAAGACAGGTGGAGAAACCGGGATCGTACTGTCATCGCCTTTCCCCTCCCCTCGCCATTCCGATGCTGTGCCCTGAAGCAGAAGCGATATAATTGTGCTGAGGGATCAAAGTTCTTCTGGGGACGGGTTTTCAGCAAAATGTACCTTAGGAGAGGATACAGCAAAAGTCAGGCCTAATCTTCAAAGAACGGTACAGTAAAGGGTGAACAGTGCCAAACGGATTCGTGAAAATCAAAAACCAGAGGAGCTGGAAAGTTAATGAACCCGAACTAACCTTTTTCCCATTCAAAGTGAAACTTGAGAAATCTGGATAAAACCTGTAGTTGAAAATTTCCACTGTGTCAATCGTGGGAACAGCCAGTGAATTCTGAAAATGTAAGGTCACTCCTTTTACAAATTATGGGGTCATTTTTGTGTAGTTTGACGGAGTTTCATGCGTATTTCGCATTGTCACGCGAGACAGCGGATAATCCCAAAGTCCTCCACTGTCTGACCGTAGGCTCCCCATGCGAGCATTTCCGTGTTAATCAGAACTCAACCCTCCTTCCTTTTTCGCAACGCTGTCTCCAATGATCCACCATTTTATTCCTTATTCAGCTACTAGTATACAGCTCCAAGTCTTATTTTCAACTTGAATATGTGAGCAGAGCCTCTTACCGTGACTGTGTTGCAATCGGGCAATCAGATAGAAACTAACTCACTGATTGGCGTTCCGTTTTAATGGAGAGGTATCCGTTTTGGCTGTCTGAATAGTATTTGAAAGTCCAGTGGTAGTAATCGTGTGCATCAAAAGACTCGATGATGCTTTCACCGTCATCCCAATACAGGAATCCATTAGCAGAGATTTCCCCTGAAGTCAATGACGTCAAAGAGCCAGTTTTCCAACATGACTTTGCTTTATCAGAGCGATGAGTCAGGGATACAGTCGAAAAGTCCGACTACCTGATGCGCTGGGAGCCACCAGTAGCTCGAAGCCATTTTGTCGAGAGGCAGATGTGGTTACGTTGGGAGCTTGGCGTGGTAGGATAGATCCACCTGAGGGATTGTCATACTTGATCTGCATATTTAATCAATAAAAATGGATGATCATGGCACCTCTGACGAAGGTTGGAATCTGGGATGTCCACGGAGCGGGATACTCTTGATAGCCATGTTGCATTAGTTGACCATAATTCATAATCGAATAAAGAGAACCAGTCGTCTTCAGGCAGATACACGTTCACTGATGTTGCACCCTGAGCAGATTATGCTTCAATTGAATCTCTCATATAAATGAGTTGCTCAGTCTTTACCTACCTGATAGACAACGGGAGCAATGAGCATCGAACTTCCCCACAGAAACTGATGTCCCAAGTCGTGTGTTTCCAAGTCTGTGGGGAACTCGTAAAAGAGCGGGCGCACGACAGTTCCACCACTTAGTGAAGCAGCAAAGTGTAAACTAAAAAACCATTTCGAAACGAATTATATTCAGTTGTGTTTGGGAGGTTCTTGGCACCTGGCCATTCGATTTACCGTTCCAAAGGCAAGGCTTCTGGCCGAGGTATTGGATAGCCATGAAGCCTACAAACATGAAGAGCATGGGTGCGGTGCACTGAAGGATTCCGGCCCTATGGCGGTGCAAGCCCCTGACGAATGAGCCAAGAAATTCCGTCGTGAATGGTTCCGGGGGGGGGGTGATGGCACCTCGCCGGGAGCGGTTCTCTATGTTCTCATCTGCATCACATTTGATCAATGAATCCCAACCAGGTACCAACAGCGCCTCCTCACGTTACCTTCGACGGAATTAGCTCGTTACTGAATAATAGCAGCCAAGTAACAGTGCAGGCACAATGTCAATCAATGTCCCCTTACCTGAATAGATATGGCAGGTACTTATACCGGAAAAAGTTTGCTTTTTGTGTCGCAGCTGCCACGCTTGGCCATCGAGCTGGATCTTGCGGTGATGCTCCTTCTGTGTTATGATTCCTGCAAACATTCTCCAACTTTTTATGGGATCCATTTTCAGTTGGTAGTTCTGCTGTACCGGAGTACTCCGGTCCACACAAAAATTTTGCTGTTTTTCCTCTCTAATTACGTCAATTTTGAACCAGTTACAGGCGCATTCCTCCAAATTGTCGAATGATGGGGGTGGTGCAGTAGCGAACAGGCCATTCACCATACCACTGGGGACAGAGCAGAATTGTATGGGAGAGAGGAAATATCAGTTTAACGTTTTAAACGACCGTGTGAGCGACCATGTTTTAGCGTTCACGCGAACACGCGACGAGCATGATCTCCAGATTGACGATACTGGAGAGGAATTTTTACGATTTTGGATAGAAGTCGAATTTAATTAGTAGCAAGGGACTCTGCAATCCTCGTATATTTTTATGCGAAATCCGGTGAAGGGTCCTATTTGGTAACACGGGTATGGGGTCGTATTTGGACTTGAAAGAATTTTTCTAAATGTTGTTTTCTCCCGTTTTATGCGCGCTGTGTTTCTCTCCTCCTTCCCTTGCAGGCCAAACAGCAAAACCACTGTTTCTGGTATTGATCGAACATGTCTACCCAGTTCCCCCCCCCCCTCCTTAGCTCGTTGGCAGAATTTCAGGAAAAGTTTGAGTTGCTAGGATGGTAGAGTAGGTGAGAGAGGGGGCTGCAGTGAGACTGTCATTTCACCCACTCTGATGCTGTGCCTTAGCAGGCGAGTTGCTTTTGCAACAGTGAAAAGTACAGTGAGATAAAGGGTACAGTACGTGACAAGGTACGAGTCAGAAGCGTGAATGAAACCGTCGCGTTCGCCGCTGCTGAGCTTTAATCTACTGCGACACACCCACCGCTTCGCAGTGTCATGCACTGTCAAATCCAAAGATGCTTTACAGAGTCTCTAGATTCTGACTAATCGCTCTAAAAATCTCAGCTTTATTAAACATTTCTTAGAGGATTTGTTGTTCTGGTTTCCTCTTATTGATTTGGAAACTGCAGTTTGGGTGCAATGACTCAAAACAGGCATTGCACTTCTGATCATGAACACAATACATCTTATCTTGCTTATTTTACCCAGGAATATTAGATGCTCACCTCATGAATGAATGAAAAGCTCCCATTTGTTGCCATCGTAGACAAAGCTCCTCATTTGTTTCGCCATTAAAACCGCATATATCTGATCCAACGTACCTGTTCAATGAAAAACCTTCACCTTTATCTCTGAAAACTCGTGAACTCAGCTTTTGTCTTATTGTAAGTTTAGGACACATTCCACGATCGTGTGTAGAATCCCTTCCTTGCAGGGAAAGCCCGCTCTGTAATTGTGCCGTTTTTGTGGCTGCCACAGGTAGTGCCACTTCTGTGGCTTGGCAGTGCATGATGAGGGCGCTGCAGCCACCACCGGTTGCAAAAATTCACCCACAGGAGCTCAAGCATCTGGGGGAGAGACATTTTGTACAGCTCTGCACGGCGTTGCACTCATTTCCCTTTGTGGCTGTTGCTTCGTCTCTCTTTCTATTGCAGTTTAGTTGTCTGTTCTCTAGACTATCCATACACTGTCTCGTTTCTTCAGACGTTCATCCACTGAAGGTCCTTATTTTACGCGTTTTCGAAGAATTCACCTGCTTTTTTAATACTGGTCAGTCAATTAGCGTCTATTAGGTTGTCTGGGAAGTTCTCAGCGTTTTGAATGTTTCACTTCAAACGATAACTTTCTTAATACTCATCGGATTCAATCGAAACAAGCACCGTTCGAATCAGCACACTTTTGCCAATGTGACACCAGTCGAGAAATCCCATCAAAGGAAAAAACTGGGTGGTCGAGAATCACGAAATCCACGAAGGCTTTTTTGCCTGGTCCTGATTGATGAAGTATTTTCCAGCAAGGAAGTTCTGAAAATGTTTGAAAAGGTGATAGTCGGTTGGTGAAAGGTCTGGAGAATATGGCGGGTGAGGTAGAACTTCAACCCCAATTCGTTCAATTTATGGATAGTGATTTGTGAAACGTGTGGGCGGGCGTTGTCATGCAAAAGAATCGGACCCTTTCTGTTGACAAGTGCTGGCTGCAGCTGACGCAATTTTCGGTACATTTCGTCGATTTCTTCACAGTAGGACTGCCTGTTGTGATGGTTTGGCCTGGTGACAAAAAGTTATAGTGGATCACACCAGCCGATGACCACCACACTGTGACCATAATCTTTTTTTCGTGAGGATTCGGCTTTGGAAATTGCCTCGGTGGTTCGTCGGCATCCAACCACTGTCCGGAACGTCTCCTGTAGCATCACACGTGACAATTCGGTCCAAAAGCGGGTCGTTTCTGTTGTAAAGCAGACCCACTTGACGAGTTTTTTCACCTTCCCAATGCTTTTCAGACCTTCCGCAACAGTGGATCTGCCAACGCCTAGCTTTCCTGCAATCTCTCGAAAAAGTTTGGGATGGTAGCCCCCACAGACGTGCTTCAATACTCCCGTCAGGTATTGCTTTTTATGGCTTTTCTCTTTTCTTTGTTGACCGTACGAGCGCGGCGGGGGGGGGGGGCGCGGGGGGGGGGCGCGGATGCGCTCTTTTTGTTTTTGGCGCCCCCCCCCCCCCCCCCCCCCCCCCCCCCCCCCCCCCCCCCCCCCCCCCCCCCCCCCCCCCCCCCCCCCCCCCCCCCCCCCCCCCCCCCCCCCCCCCCCCCCCCCCCCCCCCCCCCCCCCCCCCCCCCCCCCCCCCCCCCCCCCCCCCCCCCCCCCCCCCCCCCCCCCCCCCCCCCCCCCCCCCCCCCCCCCCCCCCCCCCCCCCCCCCCCCCCCCCCCCCCCCCCCCCCCCCCCCCCCCCCCCCCCCCCCCCCCCCCCCCCCCCCCCCCCCCCCCCCCCCCCCCCTCTTCAGGGCTGAAGATCTCCAGAACGAAATTTGTCGAAACCATTGTCGCACGGTGCTTTCTCCAACACTAGTGGGCCCCCACACCTGGTTAATTTTTTCGAGCTGTCTCGACTGCGGATTGACCCAATTTGTAGTTGAAGAACAATATCGTCGAAGTTGCTCTTTTGACATGCTTGAAAATTTTGAAAAAAGGAGTTGTCAAATTCAACGCAATGTGAAACGTAATATTATCATCAATAGCGCAAAGAATTCTCTCAGGATGTACTGCGAGACGGCTAAGGGAGAATGAGTTTTATATGAAGCAATGAATGCTACAAAAAATTAGTAAAAAAACGCGAGACTCCGGACAACCTAATAAAAATGCACTCTTGGATTGCATTACCCTTGACTAACAGTCGCGGAATGTGTCTTATAAGTTACGCTAAATCAAATATGCCTATAAGATCGAAAGGAATAACGAAAAAGGAAGCCAACTCCCTGACAGGCGATATGTGAAATGGATAAAGACGTGGGGCTCTCTGGAGTAGATTAACAAGACATTGCATATAAGAAGTACCGCCCCCTCTGCAGAGTCGTCTCACTCATGGAACACAGTCACATTTGAGCGATGTGCTGCATGTACGCGGTCTTGTTCGCTGCAGATGCTGGGGCGTGGCAGGGGCTGGCTTTGGCGTGCCTCCTCAGTGTCAGCCAGTTAGCCTGCATTCCCAAGCATCGCAGAACGATGACTTGTTACATTATTACGTCGTACTGTTGGTATGATGCCAGCGAGAACACTTTCAAAAACTGCTTGTTAGTCTCATAGTAATCCATTGCTGGATTGAACAGGGACCTTTTCGCTCGCTTCTGTTCATTTCCCTTTTTCGTCATACGTTTTCGAAGGCAGAAAGGATAAAGTCTTCGCCGTTGATGAATCCCTTTGTGGGATGCGGCACGCATTCTACTTCCATTCAGAATTCGAAGGCATAAGGTGCGTGATTTGGTACTTGCTCGAAAATGTAGCAGAGGTGCTACATAGTGGGGGAAATGAAGTTAAACGGTCAGAAATGTGCGGAAAAGCCTTTGTTCTGAACAGCATTGGACGAGCGTTCCTGAATAAGTTCCCCGTTGCATCGTGCCAACAAGGGCTTTTATAGATGGCTCTATAGATAGTTTAGTTATATGTACCTGTAGAAACACTTCATATCAGTTGTACTTCGTAAATGAAGTGATAACAGTAATAATTTCTATATGATTGTCCGCCCATTTGCGGGCGGGCGGTTGCGATAGGTTCTAGATCAGCGTGTTGTACCTTGTAGGAACGTCTCAACGTACCCTAGGTTGTAAAGCAGCGCCACAAAGCGCTTGTGAGGCGGCACAATAATCTTCTCGTCTTAGGGACCCTGTTGGCCTGCGGTGCCACTGCCTTTAAAGTACCTGGGTGGACTTCATCATAGAAAGCCACTAGCCATTGTAGTGGAAAGGTGTACTTACGGTATGCCAAACATGTTAAACTCCTGCGCTCCAATGACTGACGTTTGAAGGTCTCGCCATTCTGCGTATGTCACCCAGCCAGTGGCCGGCAAACCTGCCGGATGAGATGAAAGTAGACCTGGAAAACATAACATCGCTCATGTACTTTTTACTTACTCCTTGGAGACGTTTTTCCATATAACAGCATCTAACAGCACTCTCCGCTAGTCCCTACACATCCGGAAAGCGGAAAATGCAGAATTACACGAACGCTGACGTTTGTATAGATCTGCTTGGCAATGCCAGCGACACTCTTGCCATTAGCGAATTCTGAGGGGTTTGTGACACTACTGCTATATATGCTGCGACTATTGCTGCTATGTCTTGGTGTGGCTTTCTAGCCATTCGTCGATCTTTCGTTCTGAATGTCCTCCTTTTAAATGTCCTTTGTCCCTCTTTTGGACGATGCTTGCGCAACAGGTACTCATCTACATCACAGTCATATGACTGGAAGAGTTGAGCATGAAAACCGAGCAGAGCTTACCGGGGTCTGTGTCATCAGCCATGTCTGGGATGAAAACGCTAAGCTGAACTCTGTTTGGACCATCCGATCATTCATTTATTCATTTTTTTCTATCAATTCGCAAATCGTATTCTATGTCCCCCTCCCCTCAAGGGCAGATATCCCCCCCATAAACTCCAGTTTCGGCCATTACTTCTATTGAAGTCCCTCGTCTCTCTGACTCTCGAAGCTCTGCATCTTGACCCTTCTCACGCACACTCTGTACGCGATTAAGTGCGACGCATAAGCGTCATTCGAATCTCCCTTTTTCCCAGGGAGAAGTGCAACAGAATCATCCGGGGCAAGCGCCAGCCGCACGCGAGTCGCGCGGCGAATGACGCAACAGCTCACGGACGTGCATTTTGCTAGCCGTATAGCTTTGCGACTGGAGCAATTGATTTACAACAGCGTGAATCGCAACGTTAAACTTTGGCTCGTCGAAATACATCAAAATTCAACGGGTTCTCTCGATAGTAACACACAATTGTTGGGTGGATCCATAGACGCAACTTCAGAAAATAACAAGCAAGTACAAAAGAATCCAGATAAGGCTATTATTCTCCCTATGTTTATGTGGCTCACATGATTCGCGCAGTCGACAGCGTCAACATTTAGCTGATGAATGGTTGAGTTTTCCTGTGAGCTGCTGTAAAAGATGACACACCAGAGCAGATATTAAAGATCCACAGTGATATCAGTCTTCACCGTCCCTTCAATATCCCTATCCAAACGGCCAGACGCACGATTCGTCCTCTCACCGCAAGGATGTCGCAGGCCACGCCCACCAGCTGCACCGGACGATTCTGTTGCTACACACCCGACCCCACAGGTGGGGGCCTCCGTGCATGGAAATAGACATA